TCTGCAAAAGGTGTTCAGCCCCCCTTCTTTGGCAACACAGAAAGGAGAATTCTACTGCCTGAGGGTTATAATCCCTAAGTGCGGCCGAAGGCCGCTTACGTAGAAAGGAATTCTACGCAAAAATACGTTTGTTAAAAAGAACATTTTTTTTTATAAAAACTTTTTTTTTTCTATTTTTAATTAACTTTTTATTCTTTATTCAAAATCCCCCCATATCTAATTTGGCATAATTTCTTTTATTAAAAAATCCCACGGTTTCTGTTAGTTGGGTCATATTCCACTTCAAACTGCTCAGTTTGCCTAAGAAAAATCCGTTTTTCCCCCTTTTTCAAACGGTTCCCTAGGTGCCTGTGGGAGGAGTCCAAGGGAGGGGTTCCCCTTTTTAGAAAGCGGCGACTGTCTCCTTTCTATTGGGGGGTGTTTTGGGGGCCCCGCCCCCTCCCACTCCGCCCCCCACCCAAAAAACGGTGTGAGTGGTACTAAACATTTCCCCTCATACCAATGACAGTATGGACATCAGCGTATAATTTGTTAGTGTAATTTTTTACTTATATACGGCCAACAACACCTTGTTAAATACGCCTTGGAACTAATAAACTTTAACGCTATGTCAATATCCAAGTTTTCTTTGTATGTTCTTTATTCAATTTAAGGGATTTCCACTTCACTTAAATAAGTTATCTGCTAAAAAAATGGTGCCACAAAGCTCACACAAGTTACAAAAAAAAAATGAAATTCGGGCAGGTTTTGCAATTCACTCCTGAATGAACCTCGACCCCTGCCAATTTGAATTCAAAGCGAACCTGACTCAAATTGATTCCGAAGTGAATTGCAGAACCTGCCGGAATATAAACTATTTGGAGGAATAAACTTTAAACTATTAAATGTGTTAATCATACGAAAGAACTATTAAAGTAAACTACAATTTAGGTAACAAAAGAAATATAAAATCTTACAGAAAATATTTTACTGGCAAAAATTTCAAAAATCAACATCCATGGCTTATGTATGATACATTTTCATTATCTAAATGAAAAACGTTGTGACAGCTTATTTTAAAGTTGTTTTTTCAAAAACTGATACGATTATTCCCGAAACCAAGGCGAATTAATATAAGGTGATAGCAGGAGTACAAAAACAAAAATTTACATGTATTTTGTTTTTGCTTTGGCGGCATAAACTGTCAAAATCTGTAAGTGTGTAGAAATTCAAAGAAAATTTTTCAGTTTGATATCAGAAGCCGTGCGGCGAAAACATACACAAAATCAGCTGAGCTAGTAACACCACCTTATATAAATTCGCCTTGCCCGAAACTGTAAAACAGCTCGATTGAGTGGAATAGATGTCAAAGATTGTATATGTTACCGGCCAAACCCCGGCCTTAGAGCAAACAAGTTTTTCCTAGGCTAAACGTCCAACGCGGAAACAAGTTTTTTTGAAGCGCGCACAAAGGCCGCCTACGCGGAAAGATGTTCCGCGCAAAAATACTAAGGCCCCGGATCTAGTTTAGCCTAGGCAAAACTAGTTTGTCCTAAGATCGAGTTTGGCCGGTACAATATATACTCGTAAAATTTTGTTGTAAAATTTAGCTAACATTTCGTTTTGTTACAATCAATTTGTAGATGGGCTATTCGAACCAGATCCAACACTCCCTTTTTCTTCCTGATCTTGTTCATTGTCACTCTTACTATCTTCTTTTTCCGTTTTCTCTTCTTTTATTTCCTTTTCTCGCTGTTGCTCTTCTTCGACAAGTTCATCTTTTGGAGAAAGGTTTTCTCGTTTTTCACGATCGCTCTGGCGCTCTTTGGCATTTGAACCTCCACTTGTGCCATTCTTCTTTGTGCTCTTCTTCACAGATGCTAATTCTTTCAATAAACTACTAACTTTTCGATTAAGATTCTCCACTTTCATTTCATGCAATCTGTCGACTTCCTTCAATTTGTTGCGCATTTCTATTTCTTTTTCGAAATTCTTGCCTTTTAGCTCTGTTAACTACAAGTAAAGCTTCAGAAAGTTAATATGAATGTTATTTTTAATGTGAATGTGTTACCAATTTGTCTTTTTCAAGTAATTCTTTGTCCTTTTGCTGAAGGCGTTTTTCCAGACTGGCAATACGTTCTTTTAAGTTAGTCATAGCCACTACATGATCAGCGGAATTTGGATCAATTGTGATAACTGCTGGGGCCGCTATAGAGCCCAGTCCGATTCCAGATCCATTACCACTGCCATTTCCGCCGCTTCCTCCAGTGCGTGACACTTTGTCGGAAAGATCTCCGCCTGAAGAAGCGATAGCTGCACTACTCCCTCCCCCAGCACCGCCACTGCTTCCTTTTACATCTGCAGATGGTCGGGATGATTTTTTTGCCGAATTCGTCGAACTATCTCTGTGTATTTTTTCATGTGGTCGTTTTTTCGCTGATATTCTGCCGTCCTGTTGAGCTTTTAAGAGAGCTCGCTTAAACGAATTTGTGCACAGCCAACAAAGCAATTTGCCGTTAATCTGTGAGAAAATACTTTCATAAGCTTGGTTTTACAAAACTGTGCGCTTAAGGCTACAAAACTATAAGTACATTTTAGCATTAGTTTACGAACGCACACATTTCTACACAAACTCTTGTACATTTTGCTTATGCGTATAGCCTAGATTTTAAGTAAAAGGCTTTGGACCGTAGTTATAGTCAAAATATGATTGTGACACATATGCACAAAACTTTTAATTAAAGTTTATAAGCTTTGGATTAAGTGTACTTTTTAAACGATATTATTTGTACATATAGGCATGTATTAACAATTTTAAGCCTTTGCCATTGCTTGTCTAACCTTTTTGTTCTCGTCGCGCTTATCGAAAGCACATCGCTGCTTGCATTCATCACATTGTATTGGTGGGCCGTATTTTGCTTCGTACGTTGCACATCTATCATTCATTGCATTTTACAGGCAAGGTACAGGAAAATTTATGGAACAGGAAAAAAAGAAGAAATGTTTGCGTTCATAAACGTTGCAATTTTAAAGGGGTTTTCAATATTCTACTTATAGACTACAATATTTAATAAACATTCAACAGCTAACGAATTTTCGTTGGTAAATTGCCGAACGTACAATATGAGAGAAGGTATACCTACATAAGTGAAATGATTTTACAATTTAGGAAATTTAATTAAATTTTTACAACTAAATATACCTGAGCAAGACGTTTATATTGAAAAGAAACACTGGCATGCATCAAACCCAAAATCACTTTGTATTTTGTGCATCCCTTATTGACTGATATCTTATAAAGCTTTACTTAAAATAAGTTGTATTATTCGACTGGCAAATAATGCTTATTAAATACTGACCTTATGCATTTAGAGCTTCCGAACGCCGCTACGATCTTGCAGCATTCACAGGCGTTGGGTTTGCCATACTTGTTGAGGCAGTGCTCACATTTCTTACAGGCACTCTGGGACTTTCTAGAAATTGAAAAACATCGCATATGCATTTGTGAGGAACAATTTACAATGTTATGGCGCCAATTAGCTACTTACGTTGTTGGTTGGAATTCGGTTCGACAATAAGTACATTTCACAATTGAGCTACTTCCCCGGCAATTCTGAAAAAAATATTAGATTTTAACACGTCTGAATAATTCTCACCAATTTACTTTACACATATACATGTTTTGTATATATGTATTTATATACAAATAAAAAATGCTACTTTCTCCTAAATATTTTTCGCAAAACTGCGCAGTTGCTTTGGAAGGCGTGAGGAATACCAACTTTGGCGTCAGATTTCGAATAAATTTATACTTAGTACTTAAAACATATTTGTTAATTTTTTGTTTTGTCATTGCAAAATGTTCTTTTTTTACCTTGCATAGCTGTTGGCCCGCAGACAATTCCTCGAATGGATGTCGCGAAAAACATTTGGAGCAAGCAAACAAAACAGAACTCATAATTTATCGCTACAATAACCCTTCCTTGTAATATGTATATATTTTCAACGTAAGTTGCACGGGCCTAGTCTTCGGCAAAGTTGCTTTGATATAATTCCACTCTCAAAAAGGACGCAAATTGCCAAATTTCTTGACAATGCGATTCCAAGTAAAATAAAAATGGCGAACAGTTTGATTGAATGACTGCAGTGTTGCCGTTGCTCCCGATTTCATTTAATTTTATAGGGCTTTCGCACAAGGCGATTTTTTAGGCAACTTTTGCATCGAACTCACACAGGGTTGCACGAAAAAATAAAATTAATTGTTAAAAATAGCAAAATATAAAAAATTATGAAAATATTCGCCATAAAAGGGCCTCTGATTTGTTTAACTTTGCATTCTACTTTGTTGAACGGCCTTTCAACTAATCGCTTTCAACAAAGTTGGTCGCCAGCCAACGCCATTCAACTTTTTTTTCGTGCAACCCTGCGTGAGTTGAACGCAAAAGTTAAACGCAAGGCGAATTTATACAAGGTGGTGTTGATCATGAACCAAAAATACAAAATCACGCCATCTTCTTAGTAGCCCGTTGTAATCCCATTTAGGAAAAAAGTTGAGCGACTTTGACATTAGCCGTTTGTTTACATTTGTTCGTTGCTTACAATTTGGTGGTGGCTTTTTACTGCAATTTCCTTAACTTTCGCTTGTGACAACGTGTGCACACATAAGGTAAAGAATAATTTAACACAACGACATGATTTATAGAAGAATTTGCATAATAAAAATGATTATTCATGCGTTCAACAATTACGCGTTTTTTTTTTTGTTCTCTTCGTTGTTTACTTCTTACAACAAAGATGGCGTCGAGATTTCAACAGCTAGAGAATAACTTTTTTCTTTCTTTCGGAAAGGCGTGATCTTGTGTCTTTCGTTCATGGGTGTTGATGGCTAATTTAGATTTTCGTCGCGGTACTTCTTACAGCAATAAATTTTATCCTATGGAGACGGCCAGTAATGACAAAATGATGTGTTTGTTGTAATATGAATACACCTTTTATACAACAACCACATCAATTTGATATTGTGCCCTGTCACATGGTCAGTATTTATTGACGTGATCCAAGTATCGCGATATTTATAAGGCTTTCGCACGCGGCGATTTTTCAGGCAACTTTTAGTTCAAAGCAAAAGTCGCCTCGTCCGAACGGCCTTTCAAGTAATCGCTTTCAACAAAGTTGGTCGCCAGCCAACTTTGAGCTCGTTCAACATTTTTTCCTTGCAACCCCATGAACGAAAGACACAAGATCACGTAAGAACAAGAGAGTGAAAAAAGTAGATTTTTTTAGCGGGTTCTACTCCATCTTGTTTCAAAGCAAAGAAAACAACGAAAACCAAAATTAGCCAAAAGTATTGTCAGCCACTTTAAACGCACAATTTTGGTAAAATGATGCAACAAAATGCTTTAAAATGTGTAGTCATGTTGAATTAACTCTTCTTTGCTTGAATAAAAGTGTAAAATAGTGGCGCTTGTGATGTAAACAAACGCTGAGCTGACGAACCCGCTTTCGCAAACTTTTTTCTCAAAACCAGTTACAAATACAACGTCGCGTTCGTACGTGATCTTGTATTTTTGGTTCATGTTGCAACCCTGTGTTTATTTACATTCTGTATCATTGTTGGGAAATGAAATTGTTCCTGCAGTACGAAATCTATACAAAAAATGTACTTTTCGGCTATAAATTGTATACACTTTTTGATTCGCTCATATATTTTCTTAGTACATTCCCTTCAAGACCAATGATTTTATGGTATTCAAGAGAAAGTTTTATTGTTTATGTAGATACGTTTACGTATTTTACACTTTTACAAATTGATTCCACGTGCACATGTACAGCATTTAACGCAAATATGTATGCACACATTTTCAGCATATTTAAGTTATTATTAATGGATAAATGAGACATTTTCTTTGTATTCAGTACTAAAATTTGACATTTTAATAGCATTTCAAGTGCTTATCAAAACTTTACTACAAGATTTGACTATTTATCTTAATATTTTTAAATTTTAATTATTGTTTGTAAAAATACGGTTTATATTTTAAGAAAAGCCGTACAAATCCAAGGTTCAAACTTTGTGCAGCATTAAAAAAAACCAACACACTTTCGTAAAAATTTCGAGCTTTTTAATTCGATTTCCTAGATTTATTTTGAGTGTGCTGTTTTTTAGCCCATTAAATTTTAATATAAGTAAGTTTTTTAAAATTTCTTTGAAGAAGGTGTTGCTAATTTTCTCCATATAAAAAAATCGTATGGAAGAAAATGGCTGACATCGTCGACAAAAAAGGTGCCAGGTTCAACGGTAAGTCCCAGCTACTTTAAACTTGCACTTTATTATACTAAAATTGAATGGGCTAAAAACTAAAGAATATTAATAAAGCTCGAAATTTTTACGAAAGTATGTTGGTTTTTGGATGTTTCGCAAAAGATTTAATCTTGGGTTTATACAGTTTTTCTTAAAGAACACATTATATTTTATGAACAGATAATTAAAATTAAATAATAAAATTAATAGTAAAATCTTGTCAATATGTGAGTACCGTAAGGGTATTATATTTAAGAAAATCTCTTCTTACAACTAACGAAGACTTTGTTTCTATATGAAGCTGACTTCGATATTTTGTTTTAATAAAACTTAGTATCGAAAAGTTTCTTTAAAAATTTGCGTAGGCTATATTATACTGGTTCGTTCAAGCCATTTTTCAAAACTTACAAAGGTAAATACGAACAGGCGAACAAAAGAGAATACAAAAAATTTCTTGCTGTGAATGTTCAGAGCTATATATATTTTTAGTATTGGTTACAAAATTGTACTAAAAAGTACTGCGTAGTAGGAAAGTATATTGTAAATGAAATTGTATCAAACAAGTACAATTGTACCAAAAATGCTAACACTGTTCTGTATACATACTTTTTCATCTTTTTTACTCTTATTTTATCTTTCAGCTTCGCTAAAAGCACTTCTACCAATGCTTGGCTTACCAAATTTACGCCAATTGATAACATTTTGCGATTTAAATTCATTTTCAATAATGTAAATAACGATTCGTGTTGAATCGAAAATCGCCTCGTCTGAATAGGGATGGCAACTTTTTCACTTTCAACTTCTCATTCAACTTCGTATTCAACTTTTGTTGCCTTGTGCGAATGCCCTATTATTGACGGTGTACCAAGGTACATTGAACAGGTAGTATCAGTAGAGCAGCTGATTTGATTTATTTTCAAATTATTTGGTCTCGAAAATGTCAAATATTTTAAATTTTTTCTCACGAAAATTATAAGTTGTTAAAGTCCATTTGCTTGTGAAACCTTTTTCCATACAAAACAAGCGATTGAATAGCAGCTTTTGGAACGTTCGCCCAACTCGGCAGCACGACCGCTGATTACTGGGCCTTGCAAAGGATGGATCAATGCTTCGAGAAGCAAACAAATTTACTAGGAAAGAAAGTTGCATCAATTTTTATTTTTTCCAATTTCAATTTTTTATTTTTTATAATTTTTTGTATTTCACATGGCACGCTTTGATTTAGAAGAAAAAATTCAGAACAGTTGTTGACACTTTCGATACCAGAAGCAACAACAAAATACACGCAAATGTTGTTTTTGCTCTACTGATACTACCTGTTTAATGTGCCTTGCGGTGTACCATGCAGTATTGATGGATCGTGATCCATATCGCAAAATTTCTAAAAATTTTGAAATTTGGATCGCGGATCGCAATACCGTCAATAAATATTGAACGTGTAGCACTTTCAAAACGCGACCCATACATTTCGTCAGTAAATCTTTTACTCTCATAATGCGAACATCGGCTCTGCCTTCGCTCTCTGGGCTTAAAATCTTTCAAAACAAATTTTAATTAACATTGGAAATTTTAAAATAATTGTGGAATGCATAATCTGTAAATTATACGTACAAAATAAAAATATTTTCTTGCGTCATAATAAGCTTTCAGCACAAAAATTATGCAAATACTGACGCGATAAATATTGAACATGTAGCATTCGTGCGCGATCCATCAATCCATCAATATGGATCGCGACCCAAATATTGTGATAATTATTGACCGCGAGACAGGGCCCATTAGGAAGTACCGCGGCGAAAATCTAAATTCGCCATTATCACCACCTTGTATAAATTCGCCTTGGTCGAACACAAAATTGCCAAGGCGAATTTATACAAGTTGGGGTTGTCCAATCTGCGGATTTCTTCTTCTTTCCCTCGCCTTACATGTATTTTGTTTTTGCTTTTACTGATTTGACAGCATGCCCCTGAATAGCAAAAACAAAATACATATAAACTTTGAGGCGAATTGAGATTTGACATTTTGCCCTGGATACAAAATACCTGTGGTTGTTGTTTGTTATATTCTTGTTACCACCTTGTATAAATTCGCCTTGCAAAATCGCCTTGTGCATGGCGAATTTATACAAGGTGGTGTTGTAAAATCAGCTGATTTCTTCGCCCCACATGTATTTTGTTTTAGCTTTTGCTGATTTGACAGCAGCACATCCATCAAAAGCAAAAACAAAATACATGTAAGCTTTGGAGCGAATTGAGATTTGACATAACACCCACAATACAAAATACGCACGATACAAAAAAGAAGGTAGTTTCAATAAACAACTTTTGACGGATAATAGAATTTTTTGAAGTTTCATAAATTGTGAGTATTCTCAACGGCCTTGCCACTTTGATAATATTAAAACAATAAATCGGAGTATTTTCTTTCCCACATTTATACCAATTTAATAATATTTCAAATCCAAAATCATTATCAGTGCTTGGCCATTTTTTTATTTACGTGGTTCGCACCTTTTTTATTAAAAATATATAAAATATGTAATATTAAAGGAGACTTCATTGAAATTGTTCTTTTTATTTTTTCATTTTCTTATTTTGAATGCAATCTTGCGATTTAAAAATCTAATTCTAAAGTATGCTCTCCCCAAATAAATCTTTTTATAATCGCCAATTCTATGTGAATAAATTGTTCTCATAACTTAACATGCGTAACAAAAACAACTTGCGAAAAACTATTTTTGTTTTATAATTAAATTATAAAGCATTTTGGGAATATTTTTTCACATGAAATTCGTGATTTGGGATGAAATTTGTGAAAATTTGCTTTTAAATTTCGCA